AGCGGCGGCGCGGCGGCGCTCGGCCAGCGGTCCCAGATTTCTCCGACGATGCGATCTTCTCGTGCCCGGAGGAACAGGTAGGGGGCGGAGTGGAGGCCTCCCAGATGATGTCGGAGTAGATGGCGTCGGAGGGACGCACCGCATCGCCAATACATCGTCGATGCATCGGCGATGCTTCTGCGAAGTCGGCACTGCATCGGCGACGTCGGCGCGAAGAAACTCGGGCCCCTTATCGAGCCGCATCGCCCATGCATCGGAGATGCGGCGTGATCCTCCGACCCCATCTACTCTGACCTCATCTGGGAGGCCCAGAGAGACTAGGAGAGGCGGGCTCAGTCAGCATCGAATCGAAAGTGCTCGTGAGACGTCTGCACTTGGAGCTCGCACCTAAATTCACACTTGCACCTGCCATTTTTCCGACAGCCCCGTCAGGCGAATTCGAAGCCACCAGTCCTTCGACTCCCCACTATGAAGGACGGGGAGGGGACTTGGGGCGGGAGGGCTGCGGAAGAAGAGCATCGGACTCGAATCGAGTCGAGCAGGACGGCGTCGATGTCGACCCGGATCGACCGAATCGAAATGGACCCCAGGGGTGGGCGAGCGAGGCGGCAGCGCGGCGCGGCGGGCGGGCGGCGATCGCAGATCGCCAACGATATGCTTCTTTCGACGCGGCCTTCAAGAACTGTTTGCGGTCCCCCAGGGCCATCAAAACGGAACCCGGGATGCAGAAACTACCCCCAAGCCAACCAAGGAGGCGCTAGGGCCGCCGATTGAAACAAATTGCACCAGCGGGTGCCTGGAAAAACCTCGGCTCGGCGGCGCGTGGTGCGGCGGGGGGGGTAGCGACCTCCTGTCGCTGCGAAAAAAAACACGGCAAAGAGCTGCTGGCCGTTTTCGGCGTCTGGAGGCGCTCACCGGGCCCAGGGGACAGACAAACATTGCTCGAGATGGAAAATAAGTTTCCAGGGAAACGTGCGAGACAATCTGGAACCCCCTTTGCGAGAAACTGGAGGGGATGCTGGGAGGGAGGGGGGGGGTGCGACGGGGAGGAGAGTGGAGGAGGGGCAGGGGGCCGAGAGGGGGGGGGGCCACACGCCCCTGGCGCGCGGGGCATGCCAGTGCCACCACAAGGGGGGCCAACGCCGATCCACGACACCCGCCCGGACACCAGAAAGAGCATGTTTGTACAATTTTTGCCTGTTTGTTTCACCGGTTCTCATTTGGAAGGAGCGATCGGGGGGGACTGGCTTAGGGAGGAAACGTGGACTCGGAATCGGCAATCATCGCCGATAGATCGGCGATACGCCCTGGATGGCAGAACCGCACGCTGGCCCCATGCCCCGATTGGCGATGAATGAACGACTAACAGTCAGCGCTCCCGCAGCTGGGTCAATGCCCCCCTGTCGTTGCCCAACTGCGCCCCAACGGCCACCCTTGCAAAAGGTCATTTGGCTTCCGGGTCATTACTCGGGTCTGCGGCGGCCGTTCGGGACGCATGGGGCGCCCACAGCACTCTCTCGGCGCGGCGCAGCTGCTGGAACGCATCCCGACGCTGGAAAGCCGACAGGAACCGATCAAAACACCCGGAAGCCTGGATCCTGGAACCTCGAAGCCCCTGTCGTTGCTCCCCTCCTCCTGCTCCTCCTCCTCCTCCTGTTTCTCGGTTTCTCGGATGTGATGCAAGTCGCGCAAGCTCAGCCGGCACCAAAGCAAAGCGGAGAAGAGCGGGGGAGGCCAGGCAGGTCCTCGTAACCCTCCCCGTCCTGGCGCCCTGCTCCTCCTCCCTATTCTTCCCTATTCCTCCTCCTCCTCCTCCTCCGCCTCCTCCGCCTCCTCCGCCTCCTACTCCTCCTCGCACATAGCTCTAAATGATGTCCAACATTTACACATGAACCTAAGCCATTTGCTGGACCAGCTGCGCTCTGGCAGCTCTCGGGTAGGGCACAAGATCACCCACCTCACGTGCTGGGGCGATCTTCACCGCATTGTACATATAGAATGTCAACACTACCCTCTGCACAGCCATCGTCCTCTCCTTATCCAACTGAGCACGGGCGAGAGCCAGGCGGCGATCTAGATCATGCTCCATGGGTGCATCTGGATGTCAAATCCTGTGCACCTCAGCCCAGAGAGCAGGGCACGACAGGTAGTGTCTCATCGAGTCCAACTGTCCTGGGCACAAAAACTTGCATGTGCAGTCTCGATGGCATACCCTCTGCTCCGTCGTCCACACACCCACCACAGTTTGCCATGCTGGGGGCATGGAACGGGCAGAGGAAGGTCTACTGCCCTCTTACACATACCTTTCACTATCGTCGACTGCAAGTCGTCGACCAACATCCCCTCCCCCTCCTCCTCCTCCTCATCCTCCTCCTCCTCCTCCTCCTCCTCCTCCTCCTCCTCCTCCTTCTCCTCGTCCTCGTCCTCGTCCTCGTCCTCCTCCTCCTCCTTCTTGCTTCTTCCCCTCCCCCCTATTCCTCCTCCGCGGACCGTTGGGGGCCTCGAGGCCGCCGTCGGCGACCCCCGCCGCCGCTGGTGGCGGCGCCGCCGCCGGAGGGCAGCCCTCTTGCGGGGCGGCAGGGGACCGCTGGGCGCCCCTGGGGGATGGGTGGGCGGCGGCGGCGGGGGGGCGCCGCGGCGGAGGGGGATGGGGGGGGGGGAGAAGAAGTGCTGATCTCTAGCCTCGGCGTCAGCCTCGGGATGTCTGGTTTTCCCGCGGGCCCCGCGCGGACGTCTGTCTGGGGCGTCCCTGGTTGCCTGAGCCAGGATCTGGTTTTCCCGCGAGCCACTCGCGGACGTCCGTCTGGGGCGTCCATGGTTCCCTGAGCCAGGACGTGTATGGAACGGAGGCTGCACGTTCAACAGGAGGGGAAGTGTGGGAGGCGGGGCGGCACACGGCGGGATGCAAACTGTGTGCGCTCGCGCCGTACCTGACGTCCTACCCCTCCCACCCATCCCTGCCCATGGCGCTGTTCTTTCCATATCCGCCGACGCGTGCCACAAGGGACCTGGACTTCCAAAAAAGTCTCGCGTTGGACTTTCTTCCCAATTACTCCATCGGCCATCGCCGCGCCTTCGACACTCAAGAAGCACGCTCTCGCGACGCCCGCCCGCCCGACTCGCCCGCCAGGGTCCGCCCGTCCGTCGCTTGATTTCCTGCTCCTGACCCCCTCCTGCTGATCCCTCTCGTGCTCCATCATTATCCCCCCCCTTGCGCACTGATTGTTTCTGCATGCCTTTCCTCGTCTCGTTGACTCTCTCTCGTGGCGCCATTGGTACAATTAGTCTTTTGTGTGCCGAAGGTCTGTCCTGGTCCCTGCTTGTCGGCTGTCCTCCGACGTCCTACCCGCGCTTATTGCGCTGTCACTATCGCTCTCTGTCGGCTGCAGTCCTCAGTCCGTCGTGTGAAGAGCCTTCCAGGCAGGCAGTGCCAATGTGAGCATTCGGCGCGCTCGCCTCTTTTTACGCTACCGGCTGCAATAACTTTCTTGCGCGCTGTAGGTATGTCCAACTTTCTGCTTGTTATCTGGTCTGGGCGTCCTACCCGTGCTTGTTGCTCCACCACTTTCGCACTTGGTTAGTTTCAGCCTTCAGTCCGCCGCGCAAAGAGCCCTTCAATCGTGAACATTCGGCGCACTTGCCTCTTTACGCTACGTCTTATGGTGCATGTGCTTGTTTGCTCGGTGTCTTGGAGACCCCTGCTGCCCAAACCTGCCTTTCGGTCAGGCCGTTGGTCTCCCCCTTCGCCCTCGAATCGACGCTGGGCTTGTGACAATACTGCCAGCGATCAGCGGGACATCACTGTGGCGAAGCTCCTCTCTGGGGCTCGTGCCCACTTCCAGTGGCTCATCGCTGACTGCCCAGTCCCGTGTTGCAACGTTGGATTTCTGGGACTCCCTCTGCATGCGCATCCGGTACGCAGGTAGCCTGTGGTATCTTTGCGAGGCCTCAGGCACCTTTGTTTCTGGTGCTCAGCGGCCGTTTCCCCCTTCCCTCTCCCCTTCCTCCTGGCTGGGTTGTCGCACGCCCACTGGGCCTTCGAGCCTCTCATGCCCTCCTCCCACTGTGTGTCGTCCACCGCCGGGGCCAGGGGCTCTCGCCCGCAAGTTCTGTTTTCCTGCACTTGGGTTACGCATCGTAGGTCCCGTGTCGTGCATTGCGACAGGCCGACACTGAGCCTCACATGGATCAAGGATCAAGGATCTTGCACGCCCCTGCGGAGGCCCCAGCCCGCTGCTCACTGAGGCACCCAGGCACAGGCCGCACGCGCGCCCACAGAGGCCCCGCCACCCTGCCCTCTGGGGACCCAAGACGCAACCCACAGAGGCCCCACGCGCGTCCACAGAGGTCCGCCATACCAGGCTGCCCACTGAGGCCCCCCGACACAGCCCACAGAGGCTCCATGCGCGACGACAGAGGCCCCTACTTCGTTCGGCTCCGCTTCACTCCTCCCAATTCCAACTCCGCTCGACTTCTCGCCACATCCCCGAGGCACCTCCCTATTCCTCACAACTTCCATTGATTTCTCCCGACTGCATTCCTTTCTACCCTTACTCATTATTTCACAATTCTTTCCACTGGCCGTTTCAATACTGCAGAAGGGGGCTTCGCGGGGATCTTCGGCTCCAACTCCTGTCCAGAGCACCGCGTCACGATTAGAGTCGACCCTACTGTAACAAACCCCTTCAGGTCCAATGCCATCCCCCCCCCCAGGCACGAAACCGGCCAACGAGGAAACGCACAAGGCAACCAACGAGGCAGCCGACCTGCCCGCTCGACTCGGCTGTCTGATCCCGCCCATACACCCTGTTAGGTCCGTCCGCCAAAACAACCCGTCTGGTTCAGCCGCTTCGTGTTTCCGCTCCTACCCCCCCTCCCGATCGTCTCTTTCTCTCTCTCTCTCTCTCTTTTTCTCTCTCTCTCTCTCTCTCTCTCGCTCGTGCTCCGTCCTTGTCCCTCCTCGGTGTCCCTGCCCTCCTCCCTCCCTTCCCCTGCTTTCGGAACTGCGCAAACGACATGTGGCAAACATGGGCGATCTATCCGCAAATGGGTACGGTCGAAGACGAATAGAGCGGGTATCGAGGAATCTAACTATACATGTCGACTGACTCGTGAGCCAATCCGAGCGAACAATATCATCAGCACCATGTTGCAATTCGGGGACGACCAATTCACATGTGACAAGGCGCCCGCGCTCGAGCGGGAACCTCGTAAAAAAAGAACATGCATCCCACGCTCGAGGGAAAGAGATGAATTCATCTTCCGAAGATGCACAATAACGGTATGCTAGACAAGAGCATCTGCATCGCCAACACAGACAATAATCCTGACCGTGTAAGTCCACTTCATGCACACACCCAGGGATGGTGAAGACCGCTCGGTTCCCTCACGCTGACTTGTTGTTTCGCCTCGCGACGCCGTCCGCCGCGCCGCTCCCTTACGAGGCCAGCGCAGCTCGCCCAGCAGGCAATTGTTCAAGGCTGCCCTGGTGGCGGCTGGACTGCCAACTCTCGCAACCCAAGGGAGACAAGTCGCGCGGACATCGCCAGCGCGGCATCCCAAAGATGGGGTAGAGGCAGCCATGCACGAATTATACCAAGAATGAGGGCCTAACAACTGTGGCTCTGGTCGTGCAGACGGGCTACGATGAACATACACATGGATTTCTGCAAATGAGACGCCCCGAACCGCCGAGCGAAAAATGTAATGCATGTCAAACGGATGCGTTGACCAACTCATTCCCCGACTTGCAGAACTCTCACGCGAAATTCACGAAATGCAATTCAAAAGACAATCCTGGGCTCTTTCATATGTTTCCTACCGAAATCTGCTCTGCGAAGCTGGCGGCATGACAAACATGAAGACCATAACTACGATAACCAATCCACAGCTAGGGATGCTCTAACCTTCGTGCCAACTGTCCTTGTTGTTTCGCCCCGCGACGCCCTCCGCGCTGCTCCCGTGCGAGGCCTTCGCCGCCAACCCAGCAGGCAACTGCTCAATGCTGCGGGCACGGGCGGCAGGCCCGTCCCGGGCTCGTGCAGCCCTTGCCGCCGCCCGCAGCCAGTAGAGAACAGGTTGCGCGGGCGTCGCCAACACGGCATACCAAAGGCGGTCTGGAGACAACCATGTACGAATTGGTTTCTCCAGGCTGCGAGAGTTGGCAAGGGCCGCGCGAGCCCAAGGCGGTCCAGCCGCCGCCAGGGCAGCCTTGAACAGCTGCCAGCTGGGCTAGCTGCGCTTTCCTCGCACGGAAGCAGGCGGACGGCGCCGCGGGGCGAACGAAAAAGTCAAGGTGAGGGAACCGAGGGGTCTTACACCATCCCTGCGTGCGTTCCTGACTTGGCATGCGCGGTGAGGGTTCTTGAGCTTTCATCCCTGACGAAGAATTACTGTTGACCCCCCCACCGCGGTGACCGTTGCACTGTTTCATTATACGGGAAAATCGGGTGTTACCAAACTGTGCCCTGTGACCCCGATTTGCAACAACAGCGGCTCCCGTCTCGTACGTCCTCACATGTTATTTCAAAATTGCGCTCTCGCGCGGGACTTCCTTACAATATATGCAAGGATCGCGATATCGCGTGGGACTCCCTTGCAATTTATTCAAACGCCGCGTCCTCGACACTCAGGAATGACGATCTCGCTGTGGCCTTTCTCACGATTTGCTTGGGACTCGCGCTGTATTTAGAGACTTCCTCGCGATTGATGCAAGGCTCACGCTTCAACAGCCCGCCTGCTCGACCTGGCCTCCTGGGCACGCCTTCCCGCCCCGCCCGTTGGGGTCCACCCGCCCGATATGCCCGTGTGGAAATGCAATGTGATTTCTGCTCTTAGCCCCCTCCTTCTAATGTCTCTCGTGTTCCATCCTTCTCCCTTGCCCTTCCACCCGTCCTCTCTTTCATTGCTTTAGGAGGTGCGCTAAACACGCGTGGTGGTAAGGATGATTAGCCCCCAAAGGGGGACGATCGAAGACGAAGAGGGCGGGCAACGAGGGTTTGGAATATACGTGTTAAGTGGCACGCGAGCACATAGGAATGAACAACATTTAGATACTTGTCGTTATTTTTGTTGGACCTCAATTACTAAACGAAAGTTATTGCTGGATCCCCTGAATCCACCTTGGCGCTCTCGCCTAAGTGCCTGCTGCGTTTCCTCCAAACCCGAAGCTCATGCTCAAGAGCTTCGGGGGTGCACCGAAACCGACCCCCAAACAACAACAACACTCCCGCTCGATACTTCTTCCGTTTCTACTCAGGACTGGGGCTCTTGCTCGCCGCCGCAAGCCGGCTTTCCTACAAAACCCGCGCTCCCGCTCGACTCCGCCTTGCATTTTAATCAGGACTGGCGTTCCCGCCTCGGCGCCGCAAGCGGCCACCCTTTGCAAACAACGACGCTCCCGCTCGATGCTGCTTTAGCTTTCACCCAAGACTCCCAGAGGCCCTGAAGCTTCCCTAATCCATGTTGAACCTGAACTATTCGAAAGCTACTCTTGTTGGA